TTTCCCTTCAACTTCCACTTTCAGCAACCGTATCACAATTTAAATCGAACTCCCAAAGCCTGATTAGCTTTTACATTCTTACCAGCCGTTTTTAAGAGAATTTGAATTTTAATCACTTGATGATTTGAAAGATTCATCAAAAGACAATTTTTTTAAGGTTCTTACCGAAAATTTTATTTTGACGATACTTTCATAGATTGTACAGTTTTTCTTCCTCAACGAACTTTCGTGTGGGTGGTTTTTCCTTCTCCCCAACTGATTTGTACATATCTTATTCAGATTTCTATAGCCAGCATCCGTGATGTTTAACAAGTAGTTTTAAAAATTCCATCTTAAGGATCCAAAATCTCAGCCGTTTGTATTTTTACAGTACGTTTTTAGGAAAACCAAAATTAGTTGAAATTAAACGTTTGTAACATTATATTAGTCATTCCCAGTGGCAGACTGCAAGTTTTTTGTCAGCGGTAGATCGCCAATGCAACGAAGGTGTTGTGTAACATTGTTTCAAGAAACAGTTGCTTTCTTCTTTAAACAATTCATACATTTTAAGGAATACATAGAACGGTTTGCTTGAAACATGACTTGCATTGTGTGAATAAAGATTTTTTGAATTGAATTACTCTGTGTCTTTTCTGAGAGGGGCAAAAAGTTATGCAAAGTTAGTAACCGAAACATGTTAGTTCGTCTTTTAGTCATCCCGAAATTATGAATGGCTGGGAAAAAAAGGGATTTTCATGAGCCATCTCAAGATATTTCAAGTCTTTCTCTTTTTTTTTTTTTTTTTTTTTTTTGTTTATTTACTTCGTTTGTGACCATGCGGAACTACCTTTAGTTGGATGAACGCTTTTAAAAAATTAGTTCTGAATGAAAAAATGCAAGCGCGAGGCGTTCGTGAAGGGCGATTACCGCGCGAGAGTAGTCGAATTGTTGCGTTCAAACCCTCGCGTGTGACACGCAATTCGCGCTCTCCTTGCGTGTTCTTTAATGTGGGCTTGTAATGGAAAATATTCGAACCGACTGCAAACAACGAACATTCTTTACTCAAAACGAGTCCTTAATTTTTAGTCCTCGGTCCTAATCTAAATGGAGAGAGTTTCTTCTTACCAATTGATTCTATTGCAAACCATTGCAAAGGAAATTCTTTTCGTCCCATAGGGGAGCGTCTATGTTTCTAGGCTTGATCTTTGCAGTGCGTAGGACACCTAAAACTTGACTTTAAAATTCAGCCAATTATGTTGACAAGTTCCCCGCAGCTCAGTGGGTAGAGCATCTGACCGCACCATGTTGCGGTCCGTGGTCAGGGTTCAATCCCTGGCGCGGGGAAACTTGTCATTTTTGTTCCTTTTTTGCTTACTCATCATATTTTTCTTCTTGCTGATAATACGTCTCTGATATCTTTATATACTGATACATATATCATTTATCTTCAAGTAGATTGCTTGCTTTTGCTCAAAATGTGAAATTGACGAGATGCATCAGAACAAAAATTATACATATTCTATGAGAGTCTCAATTGGGTGATGGCCGTTTACGGCTAACGGTTGAAGCGTTTGGCCAATTTACGGCTTTTTAATGGTTAATATCTTTCCATTCTTTACGTTTCGCTTTTCTTACAACTAACGGTAAAAATTTTTCAATTTTTACGCCTAACGCCTGATGTTTTGCCGTTTTACGGCTATCGGTAAACCCCACTGAGACCTTCTAATGAAAAAGGAGCAGAAACAGGAACAAATGAATAAAGGGGGTAAGTTTATAAAGAAACTGTGATGCTGCGTCGGTGGGTGAGTATTGCAGGTAATTTAGAGCCGTAACAACTGAGTTGAAAACGTAAATTGGCCACCGTAAAGAGTAAAAAAGCTGACGTTTCGAGCGTTAGCCCTTTGACAATCGCTCTGACGAAGGGCTCGAAACGTCAGCTTTTTTACTCTTTACGGTGGCCAATTTACGTTTTCAACTCAGTTGTTAACACTAAATGACCAGAAACAGAAACAGCAAATCTAAGTGGACAAGATTTCTCATTACTAGGTGAGTCCATTGCAAATTATTGCAAAGGAGATTCTTTTCGTCCCATAGAAGAGCAACTAAGTTTCTAGTCTTGATCTTTACAGTGCGTAGGACGCCTAAAACATGTCTTTAAAATTCAGCTGTCGATGCTGACAAGTTCCCCGCAGCTCAGTGGGTAGAGCATCTGACCGCACCATGTTGCGGTCCGTGGTCAGGGTTCAATCCCTGTCGCGGGGAATCTTGTCATTTTTATTTCTTTTTTTCTTACTCATCATATTTTTCTTCTTGCTGATAATATGTCGTTGATGTCCTGATATACTGTTACACATATCATTTATCATCGGATAGATTGCTTGCTTTTGCTCAAAATGTAAAATTGAGGAGATGCATCAAATCAAAAGGTTATGCATATTATAAGAGGGTCTAAATGGGATTTTACAGTTAATGGTTAAAAATTTAACCATTTTATGACTAACAGTTAATATCTTTGCATTTTGGTTACCAAAAAGATTTTTTTCGTTTGACATTTCTTACAACTAACGGTTAAAAGTTGTCAATTTTTACGCCTAACAGCCATATTTGAGGCCGTTTTACGGCTATCAGTATACCCCATCGAAACCCCTTTAATAAAAAAAAAAAAAAAAGAAAAGAAAAGAGGAAACGAAAACAGAAACAACAAATCTGAGTAGTTGGGCAGCTAGAGTTCATCTTATACTAATTGATTCCGTTGCAAACCATTGCAAAGGAGATTGTTTCCTTCTCATGGAAGAGGGCCTATGTTTCTAAGCTTGATCTTTGCAGTGCGTAGGACACCTAAAACTTGACTTTAAAATTCAGCCACTTATGTTGACAAGTTCCCCGCAGCTCAGTGGGTAGAGCATCTGACCGCACCATGTTGCGGTCCGTGGTCAGGGTTCAATCCCTGTCGCGGGGAATCTTGTCATTTTGATTTTTTTTTTTGCCTACTCATCATATTTTTCCTCTTGCCGATAATACGTCTCTGATATTTTTATATACTGGTACACATATCATTTATCTTCAAATAGATTACTTGCTTGTGCTCAAAATGTGAAATTGAGGTGATGCATCAGCGCAAAAATTATACATATTAGAAGGGGGTCTCAATGGGGTGATGACTTTTATGGCTAACGGTTAAGATTTTAGTCAATATACGGCTTATTAACGGTTAGTATCTTTCCATCATGGTCGCCAAAAATATCTTTACGTTTCACTTTTCATACAACTAACGGTCAAAATGCGTCAATTTTACGCCTAACAACTAATTTTTATATCGTTTTACGGTCATCAATTAACCCCAGTGAGACCCTTTAATAAAAAAAAAGGAAACAGAAACAGCAAATCTAGTGAACAGAACTACTTCTTACTAATTGACACCATTGCCAACCATTGTAAAGGAGATTCTTTTCGTCCTATAAAAAAGCGCCTATGTTTCTAGGCTTGATCCTTGCAGTGCGCAGGTCCTAAAACTTAATTTAAAAATTCAGCTGGTAATGTTGACAAGTTCCCCGCAGCTCAGTGGGTAGAGCATCTGACCGCACCATGTTGCGGTCCGTGATCAGGGTTCAATCCCTGTCGCGGGGAATCTTGTCATTTTTTTTCCTTTTTTGCTTTTTTCATCATATTTTTGATCATATTTTTCTCCCTGCTGACGATACGTCCTTGATGTCTTCATATACTAATACAAATATCATTTATCATCGAATAGATTGCTTGCTTTCGCTCAAGATGTAAAAATTGAGGAGATGCCTTAGAACAAAAATCATTCATATCATAACGGTCTCAATGGGGTGATGGCTTTTACGGCAAACGGTTAAAATGTTTTAGCCAATTTACGGCCAACAATTAATATCTTTCCATTGTGGTCACCAGAATGGTTTTTTATTATGTTTAACTTTTCGTACCTTAATCAAAAGGATAGCAGGGGAACGAATAGCAGAGGAATGTATTTGAGGACAACATATCGAAATCCAATGTGACCGTTATAAGGGATACAATGAAAAGAGTATTCAGGAAAGACGTATTTGAAAACGCACAGCAAAACTTATTTGCCGGAGAACACAAGAGGGAACGCAAAATGGATGTTTTATTTTTCTACATAAGTACTATTTCGGTCAAAATGATGGCCATAACTTCTTCGTTAATCAAATTTTTCTGGCATATTCTCACCTTATCTTTTTTCATTTCCATAACAAAGCTTTCCAAAGCCTGCAGGGACATGTGATAAAAAACTGCAATTGTCGATTGGCTGCAGGTTTTTAATCAGTATTCAGAAAACTGATGAACATTCCACACACCAAGAGGTTCGTCGAGGAGGAAGGATGCCAACGACGGAAAATCTATGTCCATCCTTGGTGAACGAGAGCTTTGAAGACAAAGAACCAACAACCTAGAACTGAATTAAACCTGGTAAGTTGCTGCACTGTATATATTCACGACTGAAAAATTTCTGCAAAAACTGAATATTTCTACCTGGTTGACTGACGTTCTTAGCACGTGCTGGGGTTTCAATCATTTCATGTCTGCCTCGAATGAAAATGACCTTTAAGTTTTGTGACCCTTGAATCCTGCTTTAATTTGAGCCCTTTGATGTTTTTCTGCGGCCTTTACATATGAAAATTCGCTTCTAATTTTTCAGTCTAGTTTTCGCCTCGAGATAGCCGTGTCAGTGGAAGAGGACTTAAAAATGTTCAAAAGTACATGGCGTCTTTCAACAT